CCCCCCCCCCAACTTTTTAAATGGTAGCTTAAATTTTAAAAACAAATAAAACCACTGTATGGCCAAACAAAACGTGGTTACAAGTGTGAGACCTTTAGATTCAGGAATTCATATTATTATAAGGTGGTTCTATTGTTGGGTAATGAAATATAGGTGTTATTTGCAAAAGCACATAGATGGTTTAAAGCCAAGTTGGTTTAAAAACATCCTTGAAGGCCCTGCTATGGTTCAGTTCAGTTCTCCTCAACATTTAAGTTTCCCCAACACAGTGCCTTACCAATGGTAAGAGCTCAGCAAGACAAGGTTTTGATCTCTGCTTATACACAGCTTTGGCTGGTGGTAGTTTGGGTTATTCTGATTCCAGCCGGTCCTTGTAGTTCCAGTCTCAGTGCTGTCTGAACAGCCTAACCTCTGAGCTTCAGCCCCAGATTCCTGGGACAGGAAATTCAGTTGGTTCCGATTGGGTGAGGCTGGTACTCCCTGGTTCACCTGGCTGTGTCTAGGGAAGAGGGTTGCGGCGTATAAGGCTTCCCCTTCCAGCCTAGGGGTGGCGAGCGTGGGGTGTGGCGGGCACACCAAAAAGGATGTGTGCTCTCAGAGGCCACAGTAGAGATTTCTGGGTACATCCTCTTCGGATTTCTCCCAAGAGACGCAAACGATAGCTTGTTTCTCAGTTCTGTATTTTTGTCATTTCTGAGCTGCGCAGAGCCTCCAGGTGGCTCCATTACCTTCTCTAGCATAGAAAAGTCGTTTGTTTTCTCTGAAGTATACTTATATTCTCAGGACCTAAGTTGGATACAGGCATTCCAGGACTCAGTTGCTTCTCAGATAATCATTTCCAGCAGGTTCTGCCTCACCCTGCAGAAAGGCCCAGTATCTAGGTGGAGAACATCCATGGGAGGTTGGGGTGCCACTGGAGTGCTAGTAGAGCAACAGGAAAGAAAATATATCTTGATGCAAAATAAAAATATCAAAAGTATAAAGGTATTATGGCATGTTGAGGGAGTGTTTTCTTAAAAAGTAATGTTACCCTTTGAGACAGCATGGTGGGACCTCGAGAGTATTATGCTAAGCGAAATAAGCCAGTCAGAGAAAGACAAGTGTCACATGATCTCACTCATATGTGGAATCTAGTGAACAGAGTAAACTGATGAACAAAATAGATCCAGAGACATGGAAGTGTGGAACAGACTAAGGGATCTCAGAGAGAAAGCAGGGGCAGGGGTGGGGAGTGTCTGGAGAGATTGACCCAAGAACTTACAAGCATATATGCATAACCCATGGCCACAGACAATAGTGTGAAGTCTTGGGGGGGAGAGGGTAGGCTAGTGGGGGGAAAAGGGGGGACATCTGTAATACTTTCAACAATAAAGATGATTTTTTAAATAAAGTTATGTTAGGCCTTAAACAACCGATTTAAAGGATGTTGCAGTGACGCATTTTCGTCAAGGTTCAGGAGAGCACATCATTCTTGCAGATTTGGCCTGCTGCTTATTTCCCATTTGCTTACTTATCTGTGGCTGTTTAGTGCTCTGAGTAGAGGAGTTGCAACAGAAACTGTATGGCCTGCAAAACCAAAAATATTTACCACCTACCCCTTCATAGAAAAAGTTTGCCAGCCCCTGTGTTAGTCCATTTATCTAAGTGTTTCCTTGGACTGAGAACAACAGTTATGATTATGTGAAGTTCTTGGGGGGAAAAGGTCATTTCAAAAACTGTCTAGGTAAATGCTGGGTAATTCAAAATAGGAAATGTTCTTTGCTGTTTTACCGCACTTGAGTGGATTGCTTGATGGTCCTTTGGGATTTTTAGTTGAGATATGCTAGATGAGAATAAGCCTCTCTCTTATACCTTTATTACTTTATAAGAGTAGTATAAGTTGATTATTTAAAAAGTTGGAAAATGTCCAATAGTATAAAGAAGAAAAATAAAAATTACCCATAATTCTGTCACTAGAGTCCCCCTTTACCCATGTACTTAGAGCTAATTAACATTAGATATTAGGTATTAATAATCTTTATACAAAATCAAAAGCAGCCCAGCCGGGCGTGGCTCAGCGGTTGAGCGTCGACCTAGGATCCAGGCGATCGGGGTTCGATTCCCGGTCAGGGCACATGCCTGGTTGTGGGCTTGGTCAGTGACTCTCTCATCATTGATGTTTCTATCTCTCTCTCTCCCTCTCCTTTCCTCTCTCTGAAATCAATAAAGATATATTTAAAAAACAAAACAAAACAAAAACAAAATCAGAAGCATATACCTACTGTTTTACATGTTTTTGAAAGTTAATGTTTATCGAACCTTCTCATTAAGTATTCTTTTTTAGCATAGTTTTTTATTATTGCATAGTATTTTCACATGTGTATTCTGTGATTTACTTAATTCCTATTATTTTGATTGTTTTCAACTATGTATTCACTATTCAAAAATGACATTATGCTTCTCTCTGATTATTTCCTTGGGATAAATTCCTTGGATTAGAATTGCTGGCTCAAAAAGTATGAACATTTCTTTTTAAGGCTTTCAGTAGACATTGCCGAATTATCCTCCAGATCTTGCCAGTTTATACCCACCAGAGGGTATGAAAGCACCCAGATTTTTGTAGTGAATTGAAAGGTTACTGTATTTTTATTTGAAAGGTTTTGATAGGCCAAATATTGGTTTAGGTCACCTTGACCTCAGCTACTGCTGCTTGAATGAACATGTGGAGTGACTGTGTTATTTCGGCTTCTCTTTCCTTGTAGGCTCCCCCTCCCAAACCACCCCGCCGGCTAGGAGGCTGGGCTGATGATTCCATGAAGACTTCAAAGTGAGTGCCAGCTGCTCTGGGAGGCGAGGCCGAGGGAAGGCAGGGTGGGTTTGGGCAAAGTTTTGTTTCTATGTTGTTCTTTTATTCTTTTATAACAGCTTTATTGAGATGAACTCATATACTTATAATCCACTCATTTCAAATGTACAGTTCAGTCGTTCTTAGTGTAGTCGCAGAGTTGTGCTGTCATCACCACGTTTTTATTACCCTCCAAGGAAACCCGTGCCCATTAGCAGTCGCTTCCCATGGCCCCTCAATCTCCCCAGACCTAGGCAACCACTGATCTACTTTATGTCTCTATGATTTGCCTATTCTGGACATTTCATATAAATGGATTCATACATGATGTGCTCCTTTTGTGACTGGCTTCTTTTACTTGGAATAATGTTTTCAAAGTTCATCCATATTTTAGCATTCTGTGTTGTTCTTAGTGTAATTTTCTAAACCGAGTGGAATTGCCTGTTAGTAATTGATAGATTACAAATCATTTTGGTCTTGAATTCCTTGCACTAAGTTTTAGATGAAAGGGAAACCAAAAAAATATTTACTATGCCAGTGGGCTGGCCAGCTGTCCAGTTTAACAACTTAAGATATACTCAGGAAGGGAATTTCTTTTTCTCAAAGAACACACATTACTTTTGTTCAGAATTTCCTTTAGTTTTTGCCTTCAAAGTAGCACTAACAAAAATATTTTTTCCAGTTGTTTTCCCCTTCTCCCTCCCTTCCTCTCCCCACCTCTAAACACACACACACACACACACACACACACACACACATACATTTTCCCCCTGAATCATTTGAAAACAAGTTGCAGTCGTCATGACATTTTGCCTCTGGAGACTTCAGCATGCATCTCTAAAGATGGACATTCTCCAAATAATCACAGTGTCATTATCACCTCTAAGAAGTTTCATAATGATTTAACATCTAGTTTAAACTTTCCTAGTTGTCCCAAAAAGGTCTTGATAGCTCCAGGATCCAATCAGCATTCACACATTGTGTTTGGTAGTTCTGTCTCTTTTTAGTCTCTCGATCTAAAATAACTCCAGCCCTCCCACCACCTCCATCCAAAACATTGACTTCTTGAAGAATTCAGGCCAGTTTTCTTATAGACTGTCTCACATTCTGGATTTCTCTGGTTGAGTCCTCATGATTAAAGTTAATGGTTCTGGGCAAGAGCAGTGATAATGTGTACTTTTTATGGTATCAAATGGTATAGAAAGATTATACTCAGAGCTGTCTCCTCCTTTCCTTCCCCTCCACCTCATTCTCATCCGTGTCCATGGGTAACTTTGTTTATTTCTGGTTTATCGGTTCTATACCCTTTTTGTAAAAAATAAGCATGCATATATAAATTTAAAAAATTTATCCTTCTTTGTTTCCATGTATTTAGGTTCAGCAAACTGTGGCCCACAGGCCAGCTGCCTGTTTTTATAGATCATTTTATTGGATTACAACCACACCCTAAGTCTAACTTTTAAAATTTAGATCTCTGACCCATGTGGAATTAATTTCAGTGTATGGTAAGAGGTATGGATCTAGTTTCATCTTTCTCTAAGTGGCTGTTGTCCCGGCACCATTTATTTAAAAATCCATCTTTCCCCAGTGAATTTAGAGGCCACCTTTACCATAGTCTACATCTGTTTATGTACCCGAGTCTGTTCAGCACTTGTTACCCTGTTCCGTTGGTCTTTCTGTCCATTCACATACGGTTAGGTAGCACACTCTTTCCTTTACTCAACATAACACTACTGTTTAATGTTAACCAAGAACAAGAAGGTGACTTTGAAATGTGGGTCTCATATACGAGTGAGAGTCTTAAAGGGGAGCCCCGTATTCTGTGTTATTAGGGGATTTTAGTGCTTTCAATATCTAAATTTATTTTGAAATGTGGAAATGAGACAAATCCTCTATCTGCTTCTTAGAGAACTAAAGAGAATCTCAAGTGTTTATTCCTCATTGAATGTATTGAAGATTTTTCCAGATGAAATCAGTTTCCTCTTGGAGAGAGATTCTTTTCCGTTTCATGTGTTACTTTTCAAGGGATTCACTTGCTTGGCTCCTCAGCCTGTGGCCTAGTCCTGACCCCTCTAAATGTTGGCGTGCCCAGGGCTCATCCTTGAACTTCCTCTCTTCTCTGTTAACGCTCTTTCCTGGTGTGATCTCAACCCAGTCACGGAGTTTAACTCTCACACACTGATGATTCCAGAATTTGTATCTCCAGCGCAGTCCTGCTGTGAGCATCCAGGTGTCCCCATGATCTTTTCGCTTGAATGTGCAACTCAATCTTAACGTGTCCAAATTGGTCGTCTGAACTTCCACCCCTTCTGCTCCATTCCCTAATCCATGCCCCCACAGTCTACCCCAGATCTCTGTAAGTGGCAACCCTGTCTTCCCTGGTACTCAGATCATAAACTTTGGAATCATCTGGAACCCTTTCTTTATCTTCACTCCTGTTCAGTCTGTCAGCAAACTGTGTTAAGTCTACGGTTGAAGTGCATCTGTTGTCTGCTCTGCCAGTGCCCAGCTACCACTACCACCATTTCTAGCATTGACTCGAGGGAGACCCTCCTGTCACCCTCTCACCTTTGCCTCCCTCGGTCTTATCTCCGCAGAGCAGGATGACCTTTTTAAAACATAGGTGAGATCATTTGACTTGTCTGCGTAGAACCCTCTGTTGGCATTCTCCTGCCAGTCACACCAACCCCAAAGTCCTTACCGTGGCTCACAAGGCTCTACCTGACCTCACTTTAGAGAAAGCAGCACCCCTCGTCACTCCACATTCCCCATCACCTGCTTTATGTATTACCACCTGACATATATATATGTGTGTGTATGGATACATACATATATTGTCTTTTTCTCTCTGCTGTAATGTAAGCTCCCTGAGAGAAGGCACTCTTATTTACATACTTCCAGTATTTCAGACAGTGCCAGTCCATAATAAACAATCCATGACTATTTATTGAACAAATGAATGATCAGATCAGTATTTTTGTTTGATCACTTGGCTTTCAGTCTAGCTCTGGAAGGCTGGCAGACCTGTTGGGAAGACAACACTCTGTATGCAGGATGATAAGAGCCTGCATTATGGCCCTGGCCAGTGTGGCTCAGTCAGTTGGAGCATTGTCCTATACACCAAAAGGTGGTGGGTTCAGTTCCTCCTCAGGGCACATACCCAGGGTGTGGGTTTGATCACATGTGGGAAGCAACCAATTAATGTTTCTCACATCGATCTCTCTCCCCTCCTCTCTCTAAAATCAATTTATTTTATTTTTTTTAAAAAAAGGTCTACACTATGGCAGTGGTGTAAGCATGGACAGGAGAGGATATTTGGAGACATTTTGGAGGGAGAGCTAATAGGAGTACTTTTGGTTGAATGAAGGGCAGAGGGAGGAGTTGAGGGTTACTGCGAGGTGCCTCACTTTGATGACTGGTTAGGTAGTGGTGTCATCTGATAGGGAATGCAGGAGGAGAGACCTGATTTGGGGGCTGGTGGTAGTCTTTGTAGATAGTTTCCACAGTTTGGGAGCCTAGAAGAGAGGTCAAGAAGGAGGTACAATTTGAGTCATCTACACAAATTGAATACAAGGACAGAGCCTTGGATTTGGCTGTTTGGAGGTTACTAGGGGCATTTGAGAAAGTGGTTACCGTGATTTGCATTGGGGCAGAAGCCAGATTACAGTGAGCTGAAGAGGAAGTGGGAAGTGAGGAAACGGGGTCAGTAATATGGGCTACTGCTCTGTGAAACATAGGAAAGACAGTATTTGGGAGAGGAAGTTTGTGTTGTGAATCATGTGAGTAATACCTGGGGAAAGAGTGAGTCCAGATGAAATAGGGTGGATTTGAAGGGGTAGGATCCTGGAGGAGGGATAGGGTTAAGACCTTCGAAGAGAGACTGATTGACCTTGGACAGGAGGAGGTGGGGCATTTTTCCTCTAGGACAGGAGAAAGCTTAGAGAGGCTGGGTTAGTTATCAGGAAAGCTGAGGGGAGTAGGAAATCAGGGGAATTTCATTTTAGATTGGCCTTTTTTTGTGTGTTTTTCAAAGTAGGAAGACAAGTTGACTGTTGAGCTTGTTGGAGCAAAGGAGAGCTGGCATTTGGAGGCAAGTTGGAGGCAAGCAGAACAGATTTGAAAGAGAAAGAGGAAGCAGGCCGACTAGGGGTAAGAGAGGTGATGGTTGGGCTCCACTGAGGATCTGCTCCGTGAAGGCTGAGAAACATGAGCTCCTGCTATTTGCAGGGCGCTCCAGGGAGTCCAGAGTGTAAATGTGCTTCCTGCTCTGCAAGAGCTTGAATTGCAGTTGGGGAGATCAGGCATTTTCATTCACAAAAATCAGGAAGGAGAAGGAGTGCATGGGAAGTGAGAAATGAATGGAATGGCCGACACTGGGGATGTGACCTCAGAGGAGAGTAATCACAGTGGTCAGGGAGTTCCTTGCAGGGATGATGGGGATTAAGCTGGGTGAATTCTGATGGCCGGAGAGGATCGTGAGGAGAGCATTTTGGTTCAAGGGTTGATGTAAGCATAAGTGTTGCGGGCAGTAATCTTTCTGTCAGCCTGGTTAGAGCAGAGAGTTCACACTGAAAAATCATGTATTTACCTTAAATTCTTGTGGTATGATCATAATGGCACTGTGCTAGGCACCTATCTCAGTCAGTTTGAGCTGCTATAACAGAATGCCATAGACTGGGTGGTTAAATAACAAACATTATTTTTCACAGTTCTGGAGGCTGAAAGTCAGAGATCAGGGTGCTGGCATGGTCAGGTACTTGACAAGGGCCCTCTCCCTGGCTCTCCCCAAATAGCCTTCTTTGATGTGTGTGCACACACATGGAGAGGGATCTGGTTTGTTTTCCTCGTTTTATAAGGGCACTAGTTCCTTCACGGGGGCTCCACCCTCGTGACCTCATCTAACCTGAATTTGCTACTGAAGGCCCCACCTCCCAAAACCATCACATTGGGGATTAGGGTTTCAACATGGGAACTTGGGGGAA